TGGCACGTGTTTCCTTGCAGGTAACCCTGTAGCTCAGTTGGTAGAGCATGGCGCTTGCAACGCCATGGTTGTGGGTTCGTTTCCCACGGGGGGCCAGTATGAAAATGTATGCACTCACTAACTGTAAGTCGCTCTGGATAAGAGCGTCTGCTAAATGACTAAAATGTAAATGTAATGTAATGTTAACAGAGGAAGAACAATGATTTCAAGCACCACCCTCCTTTTAAAGCTTCCAGTCTGTCATTCTAACTCAATCAGCATGACAGAATGATCTCCAGCCTTGTCCTCGTCAACACTCTCACCTGTGTTAACGAGAGAATCACTGACATGATGGCAGATGGTCTTTTTGTGGCAGGGCTGAAATACAGTGGAAATGTTTTTTGGGGATTAAGTTCATTTTCATGGCAAAGAGGGACTTTGCAATTAATTGCAATTCATCTGATCACTCTTCATGACATTCTGGAGTATATTCAATTTGCCATCATCAAAACTGAGGCAGCAGACTTTGTGAAAATTAGTATGTGTCATTCTCAAAACTTTTGACCACGACTGTAATCTGAGGGAAATATGTGTCTCTAATATGGTCATACATTTGGCAGGAAGTTAGGAAGTGCAGCTCAGTTTCCACCTCATTTTGTGGGCAGTGTGCACATAGCCTGTCTTCTCTTGAGAGCCAGGTCTGCCTTCGGCGGCCTGTCTCAATAGCAAGGCTATGCTCACTGAGTCTGTACATAGTCAAAGATTTCCTTAATTTTGGGTCAGTAACAGTGGTCAGGTATTCTGCCACTGTGTACTCTCTGTTTAGGGCCAAATAGCATTCTAGTTTGCTCAGTTTTTTTGTAAATTCTTTCCAATGTGTCAAGTAATTATATTTTAGTTTTCCCATGATTTGAATGGGTCTAATTGTGTTCCTGTCCTGGGGCTCTGTTTGTATTTGTGAAAAGAGCACCAGGACCAGCTTGCTTAGGGGACTCTTCCCTAGGGTCATCTCTCTGTAGGTGATGGCTTTGATAATGCCGGTGATGCCTTGTAACCTAAGCTTTTGCCTTGTATCTGAATCAATCATTTTCCAATGTCATTAATACTTGCATTTAGTACTCAACTCTCACACGCAAACCACACCGGCCACGTTGCGTGCGCTGCAAAATAAAATGTACATGTTATTGAATTATTTCACCCACACCGCTCGCGCGTGTAAAAGAGCTTCTGCGTAGCCGAGCACTAAAATAGAACTTGCTTCTATTTGAGACGCTGCAAGTCCCCTCCTTATTGGATATCAGGAAGATACAAACCCACGCGGATGCTTGAAAGAAAAATGAGGAGATTAATTAAATATAACTTACAAAAAAATGAACTAGGTTTCCCTTTTTATCTGTGGATTAATCGGAGTAAAGAAACATACAATTTTGTATGACTCCGGGTCAAAATTCTACAAAAGAACAAGCTAAAAAGAGGACCATATGCATATGCAGGTAAAATAACAACTCAATGTTCATTTGCCAAGACAAACTAGCTAGCTGTTGCTAAATGTCCATGAGTGTTGTGTTTCGACCTGCCCCGAAATTAATATAAATTGATTCACAGTTGATTTTGGTATGATCGCGTCTGTTGGGGATAGACAAAATCAACATGCGCACGATGACGCACACGGACGCAAGCATGTGGCCAGTGTAGTCAGCATGACAGAGACTTGATAGTCAATTTTTTTCCTGCTTGCACACATGGCTAAATCATCTTCATGGAGTCAGATAAACATTTTAATAGACCTTGTTCATATTAATTGCATAGTCTTATGGGTCGCATGTGGGGTATTACAGTGCCTTCAGAAAGTATTCAGACCCCTTGAGTTTTTCCACTGTTACAATACAGCCTTATTCTAAAATAGATTAAATTGTTTTATCCCCTCAATCTACACACAATACCCCATAACAACAAAGCAAATACAGGTTTTTAGAAATGTTTGCAAATGTATTAAAAATAAAAACAAGAATATATACACTTGCATAATTATTCAGACCCCTTACTCAGTACTTTGTTGAAGCACCTTTGGCAGTGATTACAGCCTCGAGTCTTCTTGGGTCTGACGTTACAAGCATGGCACACCTGCATTTGGGGAGTTTCTCCCATTCTTCTCTGCAGATCCTCTCAAGCGCTGTCAGGTTGGATGGGGAGTGTTGCTGACCAGCTATTTTCAGGTCTCCCTAGAGATGTTCGATCGGGTTCAAGTCCGGGCTCTGGCTGGGCCACTCAAGGACATTCAGATACTTGTCCCTAAGCCACTCCTGCTTTGTCTTGGCTGTGTGCTTAGGGTCGTTGTCCTGTTGGAAGGTGAACCTTCGCCGCAGTATGAGGTCATGAGCACTCTGGAGCAGGTTATCATCAAGGATCTCTCTGTACTTTGCTGCGTTCATCTTTCCCTCGATCCTGACTAGTCTCCCAGTCCCTGCCACTGAAAAACATTCCCACAGCATGATGCTGCCACCACCACCATGCTTACCAGTAGGGATGTTGCCAGGTTTCCTCCAGACGAATCTTGTTTCTCATGGTCCGAGAGTCCTTTAGGTGCCTTATGGCAAACTCCAAGCGGGCTGTCATGTGCCTTTTACTGAGGAGTTGCTTCCGTCTGGCCACTCTACCATTAAGGCCTGATTGGTGGAGTGCTGCAGAGATGGTTGTCCTTCTGGAAGGTTCTGTCAGAGTGACCATCTGGTTCACGGTCACCTCCCTGACAAAGGCCCTTTTCCCCAGATTGCTCAGTTTGGCCGGGCGGCCAGCTCTAGGAAGAGTCTTGGTGGTTCCAAACGTCTTCCACTTAAGAATGGAGGCCACTGTGTTCTTGGGGACCTTCAATGCTGCAGAACATTGTTTGTACTGTTCCGGAGATCTGTGCCTCGACACAATCCTGTCTCGGAGCTCTACGGACAATTCCTTCTACCTCATGGCTTGGTTTTTGCTCTGACATGCACTGTCAACTGTGGGACCTTATATAGACAGGTGTGTGCCTTTCCAAATCATGTCCAATCAATTGAATTTACCACAGGTGGACCCAAATCAAGTTGTAGAAACATCTCAAGGATGATCAATGGAAACAGGCTGCACCTGAGCTCAATTTCAAGACTCATTGCAAAGGGTCTGAATACTTATGTATATAAGGTATTTATGTTTTTTGCAGAAATGTCTAAAAACCTGTTTTGCTTTGTCATTATGGGGTATTATGTGTAGATTGATGTCCATTTTAGAATAAGGCTGTAACGTAACAAAATGTGGAAGTCAAGTCAAGGGGTCTGAATACTTCCCGAATGCAGAGTAAATAAAATGCATATGATGAATATTACCGCACTACACACACACACACACACACACACACACACACACACCTCCCCAGCCCCCTGACACACACACCAAAATCGACACAGCAAAGTGGATGAGGAAATTCGTCTTGGTAATTGTTGAGAGGAGCGTTGCGGGAACAGTCTTGGTGGAGCGTGCCAGAGAACTGGGAGCAGCAGTAACTTAACGGATTTTCCTGGGGCCCGTTCCAAGCAATTTACGTAACGGATTGAAAAATCACTTGACATTTCAACAATAATTAGAGGGGGGAAAAACAGTGTTACACAATACCTTTGTCTCGTTTCTTTATGCAACGTCCAGGCTATCACACCATGTACAGTATGGCTTGAACCATCTGGCTGCTATTGGCTTTCATAAGACCTAGAGATCGGAGAGTTCTGACAAAGTCCAAGCAGATAAGAAGACTCTGAACACGGTTTGGCTTTGCAGTCCCAACTTGACAGACCCCAAGGAGGCAAGGTGTACTTGTCTTGGACTGGAGGTATACTGCTCAAATCATAGGCAAATGCAATTTTTTTGCCTAATAATGATATTGGCAGAAGACTGCCTCAGTAGAAATTGTAGGCAATTTTTTTGAAACCTAGAGTCTTAAATTACAACAAAAAATGTAGCCAACACAGAAGTCTTGTGTATGATCCTCAATTAAATTGAGGTGGTCTCAATGACACTCATGTTTTTCTAGGTTACATTTAGGGGTAATGATTATTCTAATTAATAGGTGTCTTTATGTGGATAGTCTAGTGAAAATGTAAACTGGATTCTTAATTTTGTTTGGGGATTTACTGGATGCAATGTTGTAGTCTTGCTTATTGTAGGCTATTTGGAATATGAAAACTGAACTAGGCTTATATGAGCTTATTGCAGATCTCCATCCCTGACCTAGGCTTTATTGCAATATGTCTTGTCGTCATTGGTGACAAAGCAGAGAGCTAGAGATTTTGTTTGTCCTCATTCAAGTCCACTGATTGGCTCAGCTCCAACTTCAGACGGTCGAGTCAAAAACCACAATGTGCCAACTACAAGCCTATTTCTTCTGTATTTTTGGGTCATTTTTCGTACCAGCATACTTTGACCTCAAATTGCGTGGATGGTTCTCAAAATGCGTGCAGGTTGTTAGGTCTGGTGTGTATGTGATACTGCTATTACAGCAGGCCCCAGCGTCTCATAGCCGCCCTCTCTTCAAGAACTACAGGAGCCTGGCAGAGAAACCAGGAGCCTAGCGTGTGTGTGTATGGCTGTGCTCCACTGAGGCAGGGTGAGGAGTAGAGTACTGGACGCCCGCCAGGTGGGCCTCACCTGGGTTCTCCCTCTCCCTCCTCCTCTTCTACCCTGCTCTGGCTCTCTCCCTCATTATAATGAGCAGGGCTCACTTCCTGCATTCCTCCCCCTCTCTGTGGGGGGAGGAATCCAGTGGCCCGTGGATAGACACCTGTGGATAGCTCCATATATTCACCATCTCCCCTGGGAGATAAAAGCTAAGAGCTTTGTCCCACACGCCCACACAGTGTTACATGTCTGGAAAATCCACTGTTTCACAACAACTGGCTAACCTGGCCCATGGAGGGATCTGGTCCAACACTGCCCCCTACGGGGTGTCTCAGTGGTTGTGGTGGCGTATGTGTGTGAGGGCGTGTGCATGTCTCACCTCTGTGCTTGTGGTAGGAGAGCTCCCTGTTGGTCACTCTGAGCCACCTCTTCTTGAAGGTCCTCTTGCCGATGCGTTTCCTTCCCTGGGCCCGCTTCTGTACCTCACTGTAGTAAAATAAATATAGACTTGACATTGGCACAGTAAGTTTAACTTTACAGCCAACAACCCATATTTATGTGTAGCTTTCTTTATGAACCAGAAAATCAACCAATCAATATATGTGACTGTTTATTAGAGTTAGCTGGCTAGCTAAGTGAATGATCCCGCTTAGTGACAAACCCCTCTGGTCAGGACAAACTCCTGGCCCAAGTTATGACACCTAACTTTTTACATTAAGTTTAAAGATTTAGTCCTGGACTAAAAAGCACTTTCAGTCCAGGAAAAGGACACATTAGCTATAACCAGTAACTGGATGTGAGCCACTCACCCCTCTTTGAGAACCACAGAGTCCTCCACCCCGCTGGACTCCTTACTGACGTTGGAGGAGATCTCATCTAGGAACTACACACACACACGAGAGGCCACAATGTTAGAGGGAAACACCATGCTAAATCAGCAATGCATACAAAACTAACATGGAAAATCGATTTACCAACATGTGGTTGGTAAAACCTTGAGTTTGACACGTGGTCTACAAAATCAAAATCAAATGTAATAGGAAGGTCGCTTCACAACCAACAACTCACCTTTTTTACTTTTTCAATACATTTATCTTCTTGGAATGATTTGAAGAAATCGTACATGTAGGATTCTTTAAAACTAGACTAAAGACAAAACAGACACAAAAAGTGTTAGTTTTGCCCAGAGCAGACCTACAGACACAACCCAATGGGCAAAAACTGGTTAAATCAATGTTGTTTCCACGTCATTTCAACCCCAAAAAATCTATATGATGATGTTGAATCAACATGGAAAACTAATTGGATTTTCAAAAAGTCATCAACGTAAGGGCATGGTCTTTTTTTCACCCAACTTTTAACCTAAATCCAATGACATGGTGAAATGTTTTGTTGATTTCACGTTGAATTCATGTTAGTTGACAACTCAAAACTAGAACTTGAACTGACATCTGTGCCCAGTGGGAATTAATGATTGATAGACATGTTGACTGACTGATAGACAAGGGAAGATTGATAAATTGATTGGTAAGCATGTTGGACAGGTTGATAAGACAGACATTCATACATACCAGTTTGTTTTTGGACAGGCTACCCCAGCTCCCCAGAGTCTGGATGGTCTTGGAGATGAGAGTGAGTGTTCGGGAGACCTCTAGGTCCTGACAGATGAGTGTACAAAACACGGTCAAATACCAGGGTCATGTTCATTAGGCACCAAATGGAATAAAAACAAACTGAAACAGGGAGGGATAACATATTGTCAATTGCAAACACTAATTTTCCATTGCAAAACGTTTTTCAAATGTTCTCTGTTGCGTGCCCTAACCAGTTTATATCAGAACAGCACAGTGGTGGGGAACCCCTGCTAAATGATTATAGGGGAAACACTTGACACAATAGTCTCAGAGTCTTGTGTGTACACATTTTCTAGAAATCTGTGTAAAAACAGTCAGCTCATGTGAATATGCATCAAAACATTTTTGGAATCTAATCCAGTTTCTCAAATCAAATCATGGGGACCCTCATTTTTGTTCTAACCCAGTAATAACACTCCTAACTCAATACATGAAGGGTTTGATGATAGAATAACAACGTGCTCTCCCTGAGGGTTCCCCAGGAACTCATTTAGAAAAACTGATCTAATCTACCCTTCCAAATATGTTATTTTTGAGTTTTTGTTGTAATCTTTTATTTTTGGAACATTTATTTTACTAAACATTAAAATAATTTTGGACAAACAAAGGAAGTTTGGGGTAGCCTACACACCATTCCATCATTGGAACATCCACACATTTTGGAAATGTACACCACCATTCAAAAGTTTGAGGTCACTTAGAAATGTCCTTGTTTTCCATGAAAACATACATGAAATGAGTTTGAATAGGAAATATAGCAAAATGAATAGGAAATGTAGTCATTGACAAGGTTAGAAATAATGATTAATTGAAATAATAATTGTGTCCTTCAATATTTTGCTTTTGTCAATGAATCCTCCATTTGCAGCAATTACAGCCTTGCAGAACTTTGACATTCTAGTTGTCAATTTGTTGAGGTAATCGGAAGAGATTACACCCCATGCTTCCTGAAGCACCTCCCACAAGTTGGATTGGCTTGATGGGCACTTCTTACGTACCATACGGTCAAGCTGCACCCACAACAGCTCAATAGGATTGAGATCCGGTGACTGTGCTGGCCACTCCATTATAGACAGAATACCAGCTGACTGCTTCTTCCCTAAATAGTTATTGCATAGTTTGGAGCTGTGCTTTGGGTCATTGTCCTGTTGTAGGAGGAAATAGGCTCCAATCAAGCGGCGTCCACAGGGTATGGCATGGCGTTGCAAAATGGAGTGATAGCCTTCCTTCTTCAAGATCCCTTTTACCCTGTACAAATCTCCCACTTTACCACCACCAAAGCACCCCCAGACCATCACATTGCCTCCACCATGCTTGACAGATAGCATCAAGCACTCCTCCAGCATCTTTTCATTTGGTCTACGTCTCACAAATGTTATTCTTTGTGATCCGAACACCTCAAACTTCGATTAGTCTGTCCATAACACTTTTTTCAATCTTCCTCTGTCCAGTGTCTGTGTTCTTTTGCCCATCTTAATCTTTTCTTTTTATTGGCCAGTCTGAGATATGGCTTTTTCTTTGTAACTCTGCCTAGAAGGTCAGCATCCCAGAGTCGCCTCTTCACTGTTGACGTTGAGACTGGTGTTTTGCGGGTACTATTTAATGAAGCTGCCAGTTGAGGACCTGTGAGGCGTCTGTTTCTCAAACTAGACACTAATGTATTTGTCCTCTCGCTCAGTTGTGCACCGGGGCCTCCCACTCCTCTTTCTATTCTGGTTAGAGCCAGTTTGCACTGTTCGGTGAAGGGAGTAGTATACAGCATTGTACGAGATCTTCAGTTTCTTGGCAATTTCTCGCATGGAATAGCCTTCATTTCTCAGAACAAGAATAGACTGATGAGTTTCAGAAGAAAGTTATTTGTTTCTGGCCATTTTGAGCCTGTAATCGAACCCACAATTGCTGATGCTCCAGATACTCAACTAGTCTCAAGAAGGCCAGTTTTATTGCTTATTTAAATCAGCACTACAGTTTTCAGCTGTGCTAACATAATTACAAAAGGGTTTTCTAATGATCAATTAGCCTTTTAAAATGATAAACTTGGATTAGCAAACACAACGTGCCATTGGAACACAGGACTGATGGTTGCTGATAATGGGCCTCTGTACGGCTATGTAGATATTCCATTAAAAATCAGCCGTTTCCAGCTACAATAGCCATTTAAAACATTAATGTCTTCACTGTATTTCTGATCAATCTGATGTTATTTTAAATGGACAAAAAAAAATGCTTTTCTTTCGAAAACAAGGACATTTCTAAGTGACCCCAAACTTTTGAACGGTAGTGTACATGCATGTAATTGCATCATTGCATGATGTAGGCCTACAGTGAATGTTCATTTCACGTTTAAAGCCACTGCTACTTTGTTCTGCTGTGCTAAATGGGTTCTTTGCATGCTGTGTAGTCAGCCCTGGTTTCCAAAGAGATTCAGCCTGCCACAGAATTCTCCCCGTTACGAAAGGGTCCAACCTCTCCCTTCAGCGCGATCTGTAGAAGGCACATTTCCATCTCCTCAGAGGTCTAATAGTCTCCAGCATCAACACTTCATACGCAACCACTGGCTGGCAGATTAGAGGAGAGTAGTACCACACACACACACCACAACTCTAGCCCCTCACGCACCCTCCTAAATCGATGACAGATTCTCTAGACTTCCTTCTTTTCAAGGACCAATGAGCATGTACTTCTGGAGTAAATATAACTCAGACTCTTACCATTTAAATGGTCTGAAATGCTTTGAGCGATGCTCATGTTCAACCACAGATCCCTCCAGAAAGCTAGGGTACGGGTTTACTGCAGTAATCTAAGTGAAAGGATTGTCCTGGGATTTTGCACAAAGAAATAGGCCTATCAGTAGGACCTAATTCTAACATTTAGGCTACAGTACGGGTACATTTACTAATAAATGACATGGTAAAATGCTAATTAGGCCCACACAGTGATATCATACGCTACATGGGATTCATTTGAACAACTTGGCTAACAATTCAGTTTGGTAGTAGGCTAGGCCTAGCGCAACATTATTATCAAACAGTTGACTAGTGTTTCGTGCTTGGTTTAGCCATTGTCTGTAGCCTAGCCTACTTTACTTGGGAGCTACTTGACATCTTACTTCCAAAATGCATTAAAATTAAATGATGTTGACACCATCTTAAATATAACTGATGCGAGCCACTGCACTGTAGAGCGATGAGGAGCAAGCTGTGGCTGTGCACTCATGACACTGCTCGCTCTGTACAAAAATATGTTATAACTGGTCACTGATTTTAAACAGATTTCTATTTACCTAGCATGCTAGCTCTTCCTATAACTAGCTGTTTCCAAAGACTTCCAGTCATTGTGCTAATGCTAGTTAGCAATTGCGCTAACGCTAGTTAGCAACTTCCTTCAAACTGCATGCAGACATAAAAATGGTATCCATGAGTTTATCGGACTCTGGGTAAGTAGAAAAAGCGCTTAGTGCGAGATTTTGGCAACTATCTTAAAAGCGCGTCTCGGAACAATTATTTAGTAAAAATAGATCGAAAAAATATTTTTAAATCATATTTCTGGGAGTGGTGGCAACGATTTAGCAGCAGTGAGGCGTCGCTGCTAAATGAATATAGGGGGAACACTTTCACTTTTAAGTAGCTATACCATGACACTACATGCACACACTTGGGATACCGCCTATGTGACACAAATGTTTAAAAAAAACATAGGTATATGGGCGTACTCACAGGATGGTGTGGGCGGAGCTGGAAGGTGTGTGGCGAGAGAACGGCGACGGCGAAGAAGCGCAGGAACACGAAGCTGCTGACCGCCGAATACTGGACGTGAGGATCATCTGCAGGGGAGAGGAGGAAGGGAGAGAAGGGGGGTAGAGGAGAGGACAGGTGAAGCACAAAGAACACTAAAGCTTGGATTGCTCCCTCTCCTTGTCCATTGACTGCTCACAAGGTAAGAAAACAAGGATGTCATTTTTTATTTGGGTGAACTATCCCTTTAAAAGGTGCCAATTCATATGAGCATAGCGGTTTATGAGAACATGACTCGTACCAAGCTCCAACACTACACATTAACAGGACCTTCTCACAGATACAGTAGCTTCTACTTGAAGGGCCTCTGTCATTTTTTAAAATAAAATAAAAATTATTTTACCTTTATTTAACTAGGCAAGTCAGTTAAGAACAAATTCTTATTTACAATGACGGCCTTCACTGGCCAAACCTGGACGACGCTAGGCCAATTGTGCGCCGCCCTATGGGACTCCCAATCACGGCCGGTTGTGATACAGCCTGGAATCGAACCAGGTGGTCTGTAGTGACGCCTCAAGCACTGAGATGCAGTGCCTTAGACCGCTGTGCCACTTGGGAGCCCATAGTCATACATGCTATGAGACAGTCTCCAGCACTTTAGTCAGGCTTCTGGCTCCACCTCATGGTGGACATGGTCTCTACAACATGCTGCTTACTGATGGATGATTCATTACACTTCAGTCTTTTTTATAAAGTAATTAGATAATACTTGGGAAAGATTGGCATAATATTTCTGTATCTAATCTACCATCTTTTTCTTTGGCTAGAGACCTGGATCTTTCTACACTAATGTTTATAATATAATATACCATTTAGCAGACGCTTTTATCCAAAGCGACTTACAGTCATGTGTGCATACATTTTTACGTTTGGGTGGTCCTGGGGATCGACCCCACTACCCTGGCGTTACAAGTGCCATGCTCTACCAATTGAGCTACAGAGGACCACAATAATGGGATCTACACAAGATCAACTCTATATTTGCGGTATGAAAACATCTCAGAAACTTTGATTTGTGGTTAGTGGACGTTCTCTCTAATGTGATGAGGCACAGTGAGTACTGATGAGAGAGCTCTGACTGAGGAATAGGGTTGCAAAACTCCAGAAACTTTCCGAAATTTTGCAATCCTTCTGAGGATGAGGAGGTAGGATGAAGGTGAAGGTGAGGAGAGAGGATGAAGATGCGTGTGATGCCCCGCTCACCTGGGAACCGCTTGGAGGCCATGTGACGCAGCGAGCGGAACACGTCACACATGAGCGGGGGACAGCTGGAGCTGGACTGAGTGATGGATGAGAACACCTTCTGAACGTACCCCTGCAGGTTCTCCTGGAGAGAGGACAGACACACACGTCGTGAACACACACACGCACGCTTATTAACACTTCATTCTGTATACCACCCCACTACTAGACAATATGCTGATAGACAGCTTGCGATTCACCAGACAAATGTACAGTTGAAGTCGGAGGTTTACATACACTTAGGTTGGAGTCATTAAAAACTTGTTTTTCAACCACTCCACACATTTCTTGTTAACAAACTATAGTTTTGGCAAGTCGGTTAGGACATCTACTTTGTGCATGACACAATTTTTACAACAATTGTTTACAGACAGATTATTTCACTTATAATTCACTGTATCACAATTCCAGTGGGTCAGAAGTTTACATAACTTAGTGTGACTGTGCCTTTAAACAGCTTGGAAAATTACAGAAAATGATGTCATGGCTTTAGAAGCTTCTGATAGGCTAATTGACATCATTTGAGTCAATTGTAGGTGTACCTGTGGATGTATTTCAAGGCCTACCTTCGAACTCAGTGCCTTTTTGCTTGACATCATGGGAAAAATCAAAAGAAATCAGCCAAGACCTCAGAAAAAAAATTGCAGACCTCCACAAGTCTGGTTCATCCTTGGGAGCAATTTCCAAACGCCTGAAGGTACCACGTTCATCTGTACAAACAATAGTACGCAAGTATAAACCCCATGGGACAACGCAGCCGTCATACCGCTCAGGAAGGAGACGCGTTCTGTCTCCTAGAGATGAACGTACTTTGGTGCGAAAAGTGCAAATCAATCCCAGAACAACAACAAAGGACCTTGTGAAGATGCTGGAGGAAACAGGTACAAAATTATCTATATCCACAGTAAAACAAGTCCTATATCGACATAACCTGAAAGGCCGCTCAGCAAGGAAGAAGTCACTGCTCCAAAACCGCAATAAAAAAGCCAGACTACGGTTTGCAACTGCACATGGGGACAAAGATCATACTTTTTGGAGAAATGTCCTCTGGTCTGATGAAACAAAAATAGAAATGTTTGGCCATAATTACCATCATTATGTTTGGAGGAAAAAGGGGAAGGCTTGCAAGCCGAAGAACACCATCCCAACCGTGAAGCACGGGGGTGGCAGCATCATGCTATTGGGGTACTTTGCTGCAGGAGGGACTGGTGTACTTCACAAAATAGATGGCATCATGAGGAAGGAAAATTTGGTGGATATATATTGAAGCAACATCTCAAGACATCACTCAGGAAGTTAAAGCTTTGTCGCAAATGGGTCTTCCAAATGGACAATGACCCCAAGCATACTTCCAAAGTTGTGGCAAAATGGCTTAAGGCCAACAAAGTCAAGGCATTGGAGTGGCCATCACAAACCTCAATCCTATAGAAAATGTGTGGGCAGAACTGAAAAAGCATGTGCGAGCAAGGAGGCCTGCAAACCTGACTCAGTTACACCAGCTCTGTCAGGAGGAATGGGCCAAAATTCACCCAACTTATTGTGGGAAGCTTGTGGAAGGCTACCCGAAACGTTTGACCCAAGTTAAACAATTTAAAGGCAATGCTACCAAATACTAATTGAGTGTATGTAAGCTTCTGACCAACTGGGAATGTGATGAAAGAAATAAAAGCTGAAAGAAATAAATCATTCTCTCTACTATTATTCTGACATTTCACATTCTTAAAATAAAGTGGTGATCCTAACTGACCTAAGACAGGGAACTTTTACTAGGATTAAATGTCAGGAATTGTGAAAAAATTGGCAAAGGTGTATGTAAACTTCAGACTTCAACTGTATACTGTACCTTGTTGACCTCAACGTTATCTCCTTCTTTCAGTTTGATCGGGTCAATCTCACAGGTTTTGTTGGATTCACAAATCTATGAAAGAAATGGATAACATTGTATTTAGCTGTTATGCTGAGTTTTGAATGCATTTTCAAACATGTTTTTCCTAGGTTATGAAATTAGCTTCTGTGATGTGGTTCATAGCATGACTTATTTCTTAGGATCGGTGTTCATCTATGATATAATCAATTTGCTCACATCATTATCTAGATAACATATGATGTACATTACCTCATCCAATACAGGCTTCAGGGTGACCGTCAGGTAGCTCCGCCCTACAATCTTCATCATGTCATCGATGCAGCGCGTCGCCAGGGAGTTGCCACGGAAAATGGTGTTGGCCTCCCTAGATAGACAAGATGGGGTTCAGAGGTCAGGATGCCTATTCACTATATAGAGCACTACTTTTGTCCAGAGCCCATAGGGCCCAGGAGAAGTGTGTGTACTACTCACTGAGTGTTCTCCAGCTCCAGGGCAACGATGGCGGAGACGAAGGGCACCAGGCGGTTGTGGTGGAGCAGCAGGCGGACCACGGGCAGCACCGCCTCGTACCTCTCCCTGCAGATGTCCCCCAGAATGTGGGCCGCTGACGCCGAGATGGGCTGAGGGGGAGAAGAGACAGACGGAGAGAGAGAGAGAGACAGAAATAAAGAGTGGGAGGCGGGGGGGACAGAGAGAAGTTCTGAAAAACCCCTCGTCCTCAAAAGGCACCGTACTGTGAGCGATGATTGGTCAGCCACTAATGGTTATTGGTTGACTGCAATTCCACATGTAGACGGCCACCACTCACGACAAACTACTGGCAGCGGTGTGGAATATACCGTGGGGTCTGTGGGCGATGGTTGGCCACTGACAGTTTTTGACCGATTGTCGGTCCTATGCGTCCTCTATTGTACACTCATAACTTCCTTCCTTAAAGGGATACTTGGGGATTTGGGCAATGAGGCCCTGTATCTACTTCCCGAGTCAGATGAACTTGTGGATACCATTTTTATGTCTCTGTGTCCAGTATGAAGGAAGTTAGAGTTAGTTTCGCGAGCCAATGCTAACTAGCGTTAGCACAATGACTGAAAGCCTATGGGTATCAGCTAGCATCCCTTTAAGTTCCTTAATGAGCATAATGTACCATTCAGACCGACAGAGCAGGTGTGTGAACAAGACAGGTCTAAGGTTAATACCTTAATGTCTGGGGACTTGAGCAGCAGCGTGCGGAGGGGTGTGTAGCAGGCGGAAGGCAGCACATTGTCCTCTGTGTAGGTTACATTGAGCCTCAGAGAGCCCAGGTCATCGGTCTTGGACTTCCCGTTCCCTTTGGGCTGGAGGAGATACCTGTGGACCAGGGGAAAGACACCCAACAAAACACACCCAGTCAGCGTTAGAGTGATGGCCAGCCGACACATTTGTTTTTGACAGTGGTGAGTGAGTAGGGTTGCACATTTCCGGTAACTTTCCCAAAATGTCCAGGTTTACCAGAAATCCCTGTTTAAAGCTTAATTGAATCAGGAAGGAATAAGCAGAACCAGAATTTCTGGAAAACCTGGGAGTTTTGGCAAAGTTACCAGAAAGCTGCAACACTAGTGGTGAGATGCAAATTATATTTTAAGTCCCCTGTAGCTCCGTTGGTAGAGCATGGCGCTTGCAACGCCAGGGTTGTGGGTTCGTTTCCCACGGGGGGCCAGTATGAAAATGTATGCACTCACTAACTGTAAGTCGCTCTGGATAAGAGCTTCTGCTAAATGACTAAAATGTAAATACACTCCCTCTGCTGTCAATGCTGCCTGCTACATAGGTCATGAAATATGGGACGTTTTCAGCCATAGTGTCCACATCGATCAAGCATAAACCTAATAAAGTAGCTTTTATATAAACAAACTTTTGAGTTTTGCTTCAATGTTACACCTCTGGTGGTGTAGCAGCTTTAAAAAACTATGCAAAGATTGCAAACAGAACGGCAAAACACTTGATATCCCTCTAGTGGTGTGGGGGCTATGCTTTGTGATTATTATTTAACCCTGCTGGTCATTTACATCTATGAACGTTTGAACATCTTGAAGAACAATATGGCCTTAAATGGCCATGTACTCTTATAATCTCCACCTGGCACAGCCAGAAGAGGACTGGCCACCCCTCACAGCCTGGTCCCTCTCTAGGTTTCTTCCTAGGTTCCTGCCTTCCTAGGGAGCTTTTCCTAGCCACTGTGCTTCTACATCTGCATTACTTGCTGTTTGGGGTTTTAGGCTGGGTGTCTGTATAGCACTTTGTGACATCTGCTGATGTAAAAAGGACTTTATAAATACATTTGATTGATTGATAGTTGAGCAATTCAGCTGCGTGTTTAAGCAGTGTGTGAATGAGCTTGGTGGGCCTGCATAGCCACCAACAGATGGAGCAGTTTTCACCGAGTTACATCAGGATGGAACTCCGCATCGCTTCGAAAGCTGCAGCTATGTTTGTCTCTAATCTGCTTGCACTGTAATCGTACAGCAGTACTCAGACACCCAGAGACTTCAGCTGAGCCTGTGTATACTGGGACAGAGTCAATAGATCAGTATACATTTTGTTCAGCTGAGTTGTGGGTCTGTATGTTACAGTGTGTATGTATAGATCATCCCTGCCTTTCTCTTCCTCCCTCTACAGGAGAGATGGGGTACTGCTGGCTCCATGCAAACTGACACCCACACACTAGTCTCACGGCCCTCATGCAAAACTCATAGATCGGTATCTGCATAATCCCTTATCACCTAGATGCGCACACACACACACACACACACACACACACACACACACACACACACACACACACACACTGTTTACAGAACACCACCATCGCAGTGTTCAAAGCAGTCTGAAGACACAACGGAAGTAACCGGTCCAAAAAAGTATCACCGATATAGAGTTGCTAGATCGGGGGACAGGATCTGACACAGGTTAATCTCCAATGACATATTGTTAAAGGTGCTACACGTAGGATTTTGTATAATTTTATATAATTTTGAAAACCGCTGTTTGAAGCTGGTAGACCAAAACCGAAAGCAACTTTGTTTTGGTCCACCAGCTTCAAACAGCTGTAAAAATAGTACAATGATTCCCTACACTATTCAGTGCTTATTTTCTCAGGTAAACTGAAATTGAGCGAACAGTGTCGAATTTTAGCAAACAGGAAATGACAGAGCGATTTCCAGTAGATAACACAGTCACAAAGTCAGAACATTTTTCCCAGTTTGACAACAGATGCCGTTCCGGCGGGAGAAATCAATAGGCGAATATCACAGCCAATCGCAACACAATTCTGAAATTATAATGCAAAAAAAAAACACAAAATCCACAAGAAAAAAACAACTATTATTACTATTAAGCAGAAATAGGGAAAAATATAAAGGAACTGGATTTACCCCTATTCCTCTATTCACAAAGAGTATTACAGTAGGACTGATATATTGTAGGATCAGTTTTGCCTTTTAAATCATAATGAATAAGATTATATGGACAGGGGGAACCTGATTCTAGATCAGCAGTACCCCTACTCAGATTATGGGCCCAGCTCTTTTTAACATCCACCCCACAATCTGCAGATCTGATCTAGCATCCACGGATCTACGCAGAAAAGAAGGTCAGCACTGTGAGGGGTGTGACGTCAGAGCGTTGGATTCTTGTGGCTGATAAAACGAGGCGAGTAGCAGCGGAGTACGTAAGAGCCTCTGTGTCATGTCCCCTTATCTGTACTTTTCATCTGCTAATCAGTCTATTCATTTCAGCTAGCTAGCGCTGCAGTCAGATTACATTCTTCAGGTTGAGCGCACTAGCAGGCGTGTGGCTGCGTGCAGTGAGAGCACAACGTGTCCATGTGAGAGAGAAGTGTCTCACGGTCACCCGATTTCCCTAGTAGACTATGTGGCTCTGGTACAAAGTAGTGCACTATATAAGGAATAGCGGCCCATTTCCAATGCAACCAGTGTGTTTCTGAGTGTGTAGCTAGAAGCTAGAGCTGTGGGCTCCTATGGGCACGCGGATGCTACGTGCACCTTTGCATATTGGTGCGTCAGTATGTGAAATCTCACGAGTTAGTGTGAGTAACCTGGCACGGAAGCATCAGGAAGAGAATGTGCGAGGTGAACCTGTGATGTGATGCGTCATCGTTCTTACCAGGCCCTGTGAATGTGGTCATTTCGCAGGATCTTGACAGATACCCGCGTCTCCCCAAGGAAGACATCCTGCGCCAAATTCCCATTGTTCCACAAGTCAACTCTGCAGAGGAACACACACACAGAGAGAGCGAGAGCATAGAGCGAGAGAGAGAGAAAAAGAGAGAAACATTCAATCACACATACTAATTGTGATATTTGCAAATACACTATAAAAATCAACAAAAAGGGACCAATGCCCCTTCCAAACACACCACTTCACCATTGGCTGACTGACACACTCATGGAAAACACAACCACATCAATCTCAACACATAAACACAAAATACACTGATGAGTTAGTCCTTACCTGTGTGAAGTATACAAATTGTAGTACTCTTTAAAAATACACATGCAATTAAAATCACCTCAAATCCAAACCTGAAAGTCATGCATGTGTGTTTACCTCTCTCGGCCCAGCCTAGTCTTACCCCACTGTAAACCCAGTGAGGTATGTAGCTATAAGTCAGTCCGCTGTAGGTGACGCAAACAGAGACAAAAACCCCACAGATCCTTAACCACCATCTTTTCATTACACACTACACTGGTTGTGACTAACACAGTTGAATCAAATCTGGTTGAATTCAAACACATTGAAAATCCTCTCCCAACTACAGACCAGAAGTCGCTCCAGAGAGATGGAGGTATGGCGGTCTGTTTGTCAGTGTGGGGAAAAAAACCAACCCACAGATGTTCTGTCAAAGATTGGAAGGAAAATAGAGGGAAAAAGAGAAGAGAGAAAGGAAGAGAGGAAATAAGATGAGGGAAAAGAAGAGAAAGGAAGAGGAGAGAGTAAAGAAGAGATTACTCACTTGATCTCCAGCTTTTCAATGTCCTCCTCCTCCACTTGGAAATGAGACTTTTTTGTGTAACTGTTGGGCCTTGTGACCTGGGGACAACAACAAGACAGAATTTACATCAGTCTTCTCCGAATTTACATCAGTCTTCTCCAGCAAACACCAACTCAGATGACATGAACTGTCAAAATCAGGCAGACACCTAGGTTTCATTCATTAGGGCACGCAATGGAAAACGGTTTAAAACATTTTGGAATGGAAAACAAATGTGAACATTTCTTATTGGGTAGTCCCTCCCTGTTTAAGTCCGTTTTCCTCTGTTTGGAAGAAAACTGTACTGACATGAGCTGCCAGATGTAAATTAAGTTTACCTCAAAGTTAAAGGTTTCCTCAAACTGAGGGTCACTGGTCTTCTTCTTCACCTTTGTTTTCTTCTGGTCAGACCTAAGGAGACAGAAGAGTCAGAAATATACTCAAACCTTTCTCATGGGGGTCTATATGAAAGAATAACAGATATAATGCCTAAAATGTTGACACATAGCTAACGCAATGTGGGTTCAATTGAAGTGAGCCCATAATCATGTTCCACTGCAGAGGATGGTAGTCTAGCCTTACCTGGCAGGCCCAACGAGCGAGACAGTGGCATACGGGTCACAATTCTGTCCGCTGATCAGAGGCAAGCCCTGGCATTCTATTATCCTGGGGGTGACAAAATCAACAGGAGAAAACACTAATAAAACCATAGAATACACTCAACTTCAACAGGATTGACCTTAGTGTTTCTCATATCAATATACAGTGTTTTGACAATCTGACCTACCACTCACACTGTGCTACATGTAGGAAATGTCAATTCAAGTTCATATTAATCATCTCCAGCACCATCCCAACATCAACATATGTGAAAATTGCACATTTCTATGTTTTGTACAAAGATAAGTTTCCAATGCATCATGTGATTTTAACCAATCATGAGTAAGCGTTGCCTACTAATGGTCTAATAATGGTTGATGATGTCATTGGAAACACATCTTCATCTCTTTTTTACTACAAAACATAGAAATGTGCCATTTTCACATATGTCGATATTGGGGTGGTGCTGGAGATGTCGAAATTTTTTAACATTTCCTTTGAAGTTATCCCTATCGTTTCCGATTTTTAAAGTAAGGCTAGTACACTTTTCTAACATGTATCCAACTGACAAAACAAATCTCGATTGAGGGTAGCAGCACATCCTGAGTGCTATTAAAGGCTATGGTTTTTAAGGATAATATTTTACAGGTTTGTCATTTAAAACATTTTTTTTATCATCTTATTTAATTATTTCAGATATTTTACATGTGATAAAGCCACACAGAGGGCCAGAGATCACAGACACCTGTGATAATCTGAAGTACCCAAAAAGGCCACTAAATGTCATTTCATAAAATTCCCCCCAAAAACATGAAAATTATCAAAATTCTGGTAGTTTAATGGTAAACTTAGAAAGTTTACAGTAATATACCTTCCCTTTGCAACCCTAGGGAGGACACACATACACACTGGCATCACTTGGTGCACTGTCGTGGTCTGTGTCTCACACACACTGACTGGGCTATGGTGATGTCATTCTTACAGCATACATCGTAGACATCTGTAGCGGTTCATTAGTCCCATGGCTGAGTGAGTGGTTAGGGAAAATCGCCATGACACCCTATGCCCTAGACAAACCATGCCTACACTTCCTGCCTTCTGCCTGTCTCTTCTCCGACAGTTGACTGATTGTGAATGAATGAACAAATGAATAACACTTTTGGTTGCGTCCTGTACTACTAATTTGCATTGCATCCTGCCTGGTGTTTCATCATCTCCAGCACCACCCCAACATCCACATGTGAAAATCGCACGTTTTTATGTTTTGTAGTAAAAAAAGATAGATGTGTTTCCAATGACATCAACCAATTATTAGCCCATTAGTAGGCAATGCCTACTCATAATTGGTTAAAATCACATGAATTGCATTGGAAACTTATCTTCCCCTATTTTTTTTACTACAAAACATAGAAACGCGCAATTTTCACAGTGCCGTCAGAAAGTATTCAGACCCCTTGACTTTTTCCACATTTTGTTAGGTTACATTGTTTGTTAGGCCTTATTCTAAAATCGTTTTCCCCCCTCAATCTACACACAATATCCCATAATGACAAAGCAAAAACAGGTTTTTAGAACTTTTTGCTAATTGATAAAAAAATAAAAAAATAAATATGACATTTACATAAGTATTCAGACCTTTTACTCAGTACTTTGTTGAAGCACCTTTGGCAGCGATTACAGCCTCAAGTCTTCTTGGGTATGACGCTACAAGCTTGGCACACCCGTATTTGGAGAGTTTCCTCCCATTCTTCTCTGCAGATCCTCTCAAGCTCTGTCAGGTTGAATGGGGAGCGTTGCTGCACAGCTATTTTCAGGTCTCTCCAGCGATGTTCGATCAGGTTTAAGTCCGGGCTCTGGCTGGGCCACAAGGACATTCAGAGACAAGTCCCGAAGCCACTCCTGCATTGTCTTGGCTGTGTGCTTAGGGTCGTTGTCCTGTTGGAAGGTGAACCTTCGCCCCAGTCTGAGGTCATGAGAGCTCTGGAGCAGGTTTTCTTTAAGGAGCTCTCTGTACTTTGCTCCGTTCATCTTTGCCTCGATCCTGACTAGTCTCCTAGTCCCTGCCGCTGAAAAACATCCCCACAGCATAATTCTGCCCCCACCATGCTTCACTGCGAGGTTTCCTCCAGACGTGACACTTAGCATTCAGGCCAAAGAGTTCAATCTTGGTTTCATCAGACCAGAGAATCTTGTTTCTCATGGTCTGAGAGTCTTTAGGTGCCTTTTGACAAACTCCAAGCGGGCTGTCATGTGCCTTTTACTGAGGAGTGGCTTCCGTCTTGCCACTCTACCATAAAGACCTGATTGGTGGAGTGCTGCAGAGATGGTTGTCCTTTCTCCACAGAGGAACTCTAGAGCTCTGTCAGAGTGACCATTGTGTTCTTGGTCACCTCCCTGACCAAGGCCCTTCTCTCCAGATTGCTCAGTTTGGCCGGGCGGCCAGCTCTAGGAAGAGTCTTGGTGGTTCCAAACTTCTTCCATTTAAGAATGATCGAGGCCACTGTTCTTGGCGACCTTCAATGCTGCAGAAATGTTTTGGTACCCTTCTCCAGAGCTGTGCCTCGACACAATCCTGTCTCGGAGCTCTACGGACAATTCCTTCAACCTCATGGCTTGGTTTTTGCTCTGACATGCACTGTCAACTGTGGGACCTTATATAGACAGGTGTGTGCCTTTCCAAATCATGTCCAATCAATTTAGTTTACCACAGGTGGACTCCAATCAAGTTGTAGAAACATCTCTGTCACGATTGCTGTAGGTGGGTGTAGTGGTGGAATCAAACGCAGGACACCGAAGTATAGTCCAAAAGACTTTAGTCAATTTCCAACAAGGAAAAATACGAACTGACTTGCCCGAAGGCGAAATTACGCACGAAGGCGAACAAAACAAAAGGCGCACTAAACAGGTGCGATAAACGCTCCAACGCAGTGGAGGGAAGCTCAACCGAGCGAAATAGCAAAATACAAGCCCAACACACGACAGACCTAAATCAATAACACACAACACTAGACAAACACAACGAGAAACTTATAGGACACTAATTACGCTAAACGAGAACAGGTGTCACAACAAACAGACAAAAGCAAACGAACATGAAACATACAACGGTGGCAGCTAGTATTCCGGAGACAACGAACGCCGAAGCCTGCCCGAACAAGGAAGAGAGGCAGCCTCGGCCGAAACCGTGACAGTACCCCCCCCCTTGACGCGCGGCTCCAGACGTGCGCCGACTCCGGCCTCGGGGACGACCCGGAGGACGCGGAGCAGGGTGCGTCGGGTGCCCACGATGGAATTCCGTCAGGAGAGACGGGTCCAAAATGTCTCTCCTCGGCACCCAGCACCGCTCCTCCGGACCGTACCCCTCCCACTCCACTAGATATTGGAGACCCCCCATCCGACGTCTCGAATCCAAGATGGACCTCACGGAGTACGCCGGTGCCCCCTCGATGTCCAATGGGGGCGGAGGAGTCTCCCTGATCTCACTTTCTTGGAGTGGGCCAGCTACCACCGGCCTGAGAAGGGACACATGGAACGAGGGGTTAATACTTTTATATTCAACAGGTAGTTGTAATTTGTAACACACCTCGTTCAACCTTCCCAGGACTTTAAATGGCCCTACAAACCGCCGACCCAGTTTCCGACAGGGCAGGCGGAGGGGCAGGTTTCTGGTAGAGAGCCAGACTCGATCACCAGGTGCGTACACCGGTCCCTCACTGCGGTGGAGATCGGCGCTCGCCTTATGACGACGGAGGGCCCGCTGCAGGTGGACGTGTGCAGCGTTCCATGTCTCCTCCGAGCGCCGCGCCCACTCATCCACCGCAGGAGCCTCGATCTGGCTCTGCTGCCAAGGTGCCAGAACCGGCTGGTAACCCAACACACATTGGAAAGGGGTTAGGTTAGTGGAGGAATGGCGTAGGGAATTCTGGGCCATTTCGGCCCAGGGAACGTACCTTGCCCACTCCTCCGGCCGGTCCTGGCAGTATGTTCTAAGAAACCTACCCACATCCTGGTTCACACGTTCCACCTGCCCATTACTCTCCGGGTGGTAACCCGAGGTGAGGCTCACCGAGACCCCCAACCGCTCCATAAAAGCTCTCCAGACTCTGGAGGTAAATTGGGGACCTCGATCAGACACAATATCCTCGGGTACCCCGTAGTGCCGGAACACATGGGTGAATAGGGCTTCGGCAGTTTGCAGGGCGGTAGGAAGGCCCGGCATGGGGAGCAAACGACAGGCCTTAGAAAACCGGTCCACAACGACCAGTATAGTGGTATTCCCCTGTGAAGGAGGAAGGTCAGTAAGGAAATCCACCGAGAGGTGGGACCATGGTCGTTGTGGAACGGGCAGGGGTAGTAACTTACCCCTAGGCAGATGTCTAGGCGCCTTACACTGGGCGCACACCGAGCAGGAGGAAACATAAA